ACTACTACTACTACTACTACAGCACCTCCTACCTCCTACCTCCTACCTCCCACCTCCCGTCTCCCACCTCCCACCTCCCACCTCTCACCTGCCACCTGCCACCTCCTACCTCCTACCTCCTCCCTCCTACCTGCGTCCGCGGACAAAGACTAATTACTTCTAGCAGCTACCACCACACAACACACTACACGGTACACACTACTCCACTGCACGCTACGTACTACGCACTGCACACTACATACACACTACACGACACACTACACGCCATCATTACCACCTCTACCACTTTTGTCCCACACCGCCATTGCCACCATGTCCATCTACCACTCCGACCACCACGGAGACCTGACAACTCCCGTCCATCGAGGAAATTGCCAACCTCGAGCGCGAGATCAGAGATGCAGAGGCCTGGATCATGACTGCGAATCTTTTGGTCTTGTCTTCGGGAGGGGTTTTCTGACGAAGACCCTGCGTTGCACTCCACTTGCAGTCTGCTGAAGACCTCCGCATGACGTTTTACTTCAAGAGAAGCAACTTTGTTACAGGCGTCCATAGTGGAGTCGATCTGGGGTTTTCTGCTCGGACGCAAAGGCGGCGTTCCGTACCAGAACAAGGGTGTACGATCCTGAAAACCAACCACTTTTCAGTGCAAAGAATCAGAAGAAGTGTCATCAACGGCTGAATCATGCTGTTGACATGCCGATCCAGGAAGGTTTTCGCCCTGCACCAGGGCTTTCTAGCCTCCGGGCCTACTTCGTCAGGCTCGGCTTGCAGAGCCCTTGGAGGAGGTGGACGAGACGCCGAACCAGGTGGATGAGATAGTGAACGTGTCAAGATGGGAGTATAGGATGGTACCGTCTATTCGATGACGCTGGCGGTGATGCTGAGCCTCATGGTTAGAGCCACGTTTCTTCCTGCAATGTCGCTGGGAGTATGACTAGTTTATTTTCAGGAATGTGCAAGGTTTGGGTTACAGGTGGAATGCGGTATGGGGGATTTTGGGGACCTTGAGTGTCAAAAACCTCCTGAGGGCTTCGGGGTCTTCGGGGTTCAGATGTCAGTTCTGTTCCTGGGAGTTTGCTCAGACCTGGCCTAGTCTCCCCCTTGGCCTAAGACCTGTAGCCGCTCAGCGATTCTAGATCTCTACGTACGCCCCGGATGCCAAAATACATGCGGGGTGGAATGCTTTTTTGTTGTAAAGGGAATCGTAAAATCCCAGATCCATTGCCAGAGAGCTGAAGCCATGAACGCTTGCAGGTGCCATCTGAGTGCATTGCCTGCAGGTCCTCCGGACAGAGTTGCAGAGCCTGCAAGCGGAGAACCAGGCCACTCTCCAGGCCAGGAAGCAATCTCAGAAATCAAGGCTGACGAGTTGTGCTCAGGTAGACAGCAAGGATTTTAATGATGAGAGCATTTGTTTACTTCATCTTAAAAAGCAGCTTGCACGACTCCTCGCCCTCGGGGCCTCATATTTCGCCCAGCGCGTTCCTGAAGTTGGTGTATTCAGTATCGCGGATGGCAAGGCCGTCCAGCGCGTGCGCGATGACGAAAAGGCCGCCCGCAAGGAGATAGAGGCCTGGATCCGGGCTTCGAGGTGTTGATTGTTTTGGGTTTCGTTCGAGGAGAGGGCTGTGCCTCGCTTCCGATGGGCTCCTCATCTTGTTTTTGCGGTCTCTCTCTTCGAGTTTCCGGTTCAGCTTCAGAACGTAGCATCCCCTACCCCAGGCCCAGGCCGTGGATCTTCAACTGAAAAGAAATCTAGAGCTGCTACGACCGCAGCGAGGACTTGGAGAAGCAGGTTTCCGAGCTCCAAGCTCGGGCCTCGGTCCAGTTTCCTCGAGTGCAGCGCTAGGCCTTCTCTCGCAAGCCTGTAGTGGACATTGGGGTTGACGGGAGGTCGAGAGTCATTTTAAGGTCTTGTGTTTTAGACAAAAGGCTCCAGAGTTTCGCTTTGAGGCCAAGCTGGAACAGCAGAGAAGGGACAACCACGCCCTTGAACAGGACTTGGTACCTTGGCTGCAAAAAATCTCTCGTTGTTAAGCGAACACTGGTGATGATCTCGACCTGGTGCTTATGCCGTTGTTGCTGCAAAAGGATGGTCTTCGTTTGAGAAGGCAGTGGCCAAGCTTTGATCTCTGCATCTGTCCCCTTGCCAGACGCAAGTCTGCCCCGTGAATTAGACAACGGGTCCACGAAAAGAACTGTGGATTGCTGCGTGTCTTCACGGCAGCAGCCAGTCTCTGAGGCAGCATCCTTGGCCACTGTGATCCAATCGCAAAGCCGTCTCCGGGCAGAAAGCATGATTTGGTTGGGTCTGTAGAGGTGCTATGGTGTGTGGAGTGGGTTTAGCAGGAGTTCGCGAGCTTCAACACGCAGGGTCCTAAACCAGCAGGCCCCCAGTCACGGAGCCATGAAGGCAACCACCCTGCCCGAGCACTTGCGGAATAGAACTCCTGATGGCTTCCACGGACCCATGGAGCCTAAAACATGGATTACCGGCACAACCAAAGAGGACTAAGCTGAAGGCAAATCCCCGCCCCAAACGTGGTACATACCTTGAGCCGCTGCCGAAATTCGACCGCACAACCAAAGCCTCAACTGCGACCTCCCTAGCCCGATGTTTGCCGAGGACTCGCAGAGTTGGAGGCCACGGGGAAGGGTCAGCTGAAACTTTCGCCAGGCCGTTCAGGGTAGAGGGATGCAGGATCCAAGGTTTGCTGTTTTTGTTTCGTGGGTTTTCGGAGATAATCTGTCATTCGGTTGTGGTCCTGGATTGGTGGACCTGCGTCGGGTCACGAGAGTAGTAGGTTTAGACTTTGGGTTAAAGCCAGGAGCACAAGCGTGTAGCCGAAGACGACCTCGAAGAGGAGAACCGGCTCGCGAAGGCCGTGGGACAGAAGGTTTATTGTTTAGGGAGTTCAGGGACTCGTCCGCGGACGACTCCAGATGCACAGATCTTTCGGCTTCAGATGTTCAGGCTGCCTTGCTATCTGTGTGGTGTTTGCCTTGTCGGATCATCTGTGGGAGTTTTAGTGCACAGAGCCGATGCTCGATGTTAGAGAAATGGCAGGGTGCCAGGTTCTAGCATTTCGGGTGTGCAGGTGTGTTCGGCTGTCTTTCTTGATCTCCGCAGCGGGGTCCCGAATCTCAATGTCTGCGAAAGCCGTTATGAGCACCCACAGCATTTGTTCAGATGGAAAGATTACTGTGTCAAGCATTCAAATGCAGTAGAGCAATGTTCATTTTTGTTGACCAATTTTGCAGACATGTGCCTTCACGGGCCCCAGCCCTGAAGCGAAGCTTCAGGCTTAGGCCACCGGAACCCGCAAACCATGCACACCTCTGCGGCGCACTGCTCCAAAGAAGGCGATTTCGGAATTTTTCCAAAAGCTTCAGCGGCTCCGTGGGACACTTTGGGTCTCGAAGCTTTCCAGCATGAATCATGCCTTTCTGCATGTTGGTTGGTGTTGGGCTTGTAAGCGCTTTGAGCTGACTCACATAGCATGAACAACTCCCCTCACTTCACAGTGGCTGCTGTGAGGGCCGGGGCTGGAAAGTAACGCTGAAGCTTCTCGCAGGCGCAGCTGTATTTGTTGTAAATTTTGCGCGGTTTTGGCTCCCTGTGCAGGAAGATTGGAATAGACAGCAGGAGCTGGAAGACGAGATACGGTCGCTGACAGGCAGAAGCCGACTTCACATCACAATTTGTGTTTGTGTTCAGGACTGCAGTCCTTGATTGAGGCTTTGAGGGCTTCGGCCTGAAGTTGAGGGAGTAGGCCTTTGTTGTTCGAACGTCTTGGGGCTGGGATCTACCACACGTCTTTTGCACTGCTGTGTCATGATTGCATCGCCCGCGACTGAACCTTTGAGTCCCAAAGGTTATGGTCCTTGATACTTGTCCTTGATTGAAAGTGTAGGGACTGTAGAGTGACGCAATACAAGTCCAGCAACATGACGGTACAGAGTAGACATCCGCTATCTCGTACAGTCAACTAGCAAGTAGTTTCCGTGCTTGGCGAGCAGCATCGGTTGAAGCGGGCCGTAGGCTTCAGGTTCGGGCTGGGGCATGCGCACTTGTAAAGCTGCGTGACGACAGCACCCTTGATGCTGCAGGCGCATTGCGACAGACGGAGGCCGGCATGAGGGCATGCCTGGTGTTTTAGCGAGATTGTCGGTACCCTGGAGGTTGGATTTGGAACGTAGCAACCTCAATCCTACGGGCTATGTGGCTCCTACGCTTTGAAGCAATTTTTGTTGGTGTGGTGCGGACTGTTTCTTCGAGGGGGCTGCGGTAAGGGCCAGTCCTAGTAGGCAACGAGCAATGTAGGCATGCGACGGCCTGCATGCTTTCGAGGCTGTAGTGCTTCTCGACTCTTGTCGAGTTTCCTAGTTTCTCTTTCCTTGTGGGACACCCTTTGGACACTTACCATAGAGCTCAAGTTCGGAAGAAGCGCACTGATGCTAAGCCTCGTCTCTCAATGGGTTGACCACTACAAGCATGTGGTGTCTGCTACCAAGGTACGGAAGGAGAGACGGAGAGGGAGAGAGCGAGAGAGAGTCTGTCACACACAGCCTAGCTGCCATGTTCTTACATGCTTGTCGCATTCAAGTCTGTTGACCTACTTGTGGATGTGCGTTGTTGACTAACGTCAGCCGGCAGGAGGCCAAGGCGGTTTGGACTTGGCGCCTGGACAAGGCCGAGGGAACTGGGCTTCAGGTCTAGTATTGTATGCGGCGAAGTAAGGAGAAGCTGTGAGACAGTCAAGGACCGTGGGGTGTTGAGTTCGGCGGCGCAGCCCAGGGCTTGGGCTCGGGGCTTCAGGGCTTGATTCATAGAGTGAGCAGTTGGTTCAGGTTGTTAATGGGTCTAGATGTCAAGGAGATCGAAGTTGGACATGTACTCTGAAGCATTATCCCGAACTCAGACGTGCAGAAATTGTCCCAGTCACTCAGACGGAGCAGCGTCACCGTCAAGGCTATGAAGACGGTGTTCCAAGCATAGCATAGCACTTGACCTGCTCGGCAGTGGTTGGGATCCGAGGCTTTGCAAGCAAAACTGCCGTGAATGCATTCGAGATGAACCTGCTGCTTCCACTGGCCGAAATCCAGTACGGCCTCAACCAGGATTTCTGCCGCTACGTGCCCGCAAGCCTTCCGTTGTACCAGGTCATCAAGCAGATCGAGAAGTTGGATCACGACTCGATTTTCGTGCTGCCCGGATGAACAGGTTAAGCTTGACGAAATCCGAATCTCGAGAGATTCACTCAAAGCAGGGGTCCATTTTGCAAAACGCTGCATAGTTCGTCATGCTTCATCTATCTGAATCTATCTCCTATTTCCCAAAAACACAAGCTCAAGGCCAAGCAGCACATAAACCAAGCTGTCAGAACCACAAGCGCAGCCCAGGCGCCGGCTCCTGGAAGCCGGTGCATCCTGAGACATCCAAGCTTCCGAGGGCCGCCCGGGAAAAAGGATTAGACATTGCGGGGATCAAAAACCATGCATGCGCGTGTGTATTTTTTCCCACAGACGTTCATAAATATATATAAACATGCATACCTAAAGCAGTGCATCGGGGAAGTCTGTAGCAGTGTCCCGGGGGCCTCCAAGCTTCTTGTTTATAGACTGGACGATTCAAGGTTTGGGCCGAACTTGAGGTTTACGGGTTTCAGGATTTGGGTACTGGTCTAACTGTCTGGTGCCGGCTGAAGCAGGGTTCGAGTCGCAACTCCATCCAAAATTTCTATGATTTCCTGCTTCAACAGCCAAACCTCGAAGCATAAACCACGATCTCTTGACCCCCTTAACAGGATTCACAACTGGTTCTGCCGGCAAGCCGTTCTTCCAGGGCCGGGGTCATGATGGCCTTCGTGCCCTTTGTTTCAACACGGCCGCTAAACATGGCCAACTGCACATCTCCCGGTTCACGAAGTGGTCTGTGCCTCTCTTGAGTTTTGGGTTGAGGCGTTTCAGCTGCAGTTTTGCAGCATATCTCGAAGACCGAGCCAACATGATACATCGGTTGCTCAACCTAGTTGTCAGCACCTAATTCTCTACGATCAAAGCAAGTGAGATCAAGTGAGTTTGTCCCAGATAGAAGCCGCATGTCAGCTGGTGGGTACACTCTGGGTTCGAGCTCTAAGACTCTAAGACCAGAACTTCAGGTAAACAGCCACGGGCCACTGGAACCCTTGCCTAGACGTTGAATTCGAAGCGTCCTTCGTCGCTGCCCGCCCCTGCGCAAAACGCGCGGAGGGCGTTGCATTGCTTGCTGGACATAGAATTTGCAATAAAAGATTCCGGCCACGCTGCAGCCTGAACCTTGAAATGGCATCGGGGCTTCGGACTTGAACAGCAAAGATGCCGGCCCGTGTCCTGGACTCTTCTCGGGAGACGGGTCTTAGAGTCTTGGGTCAAGGCTTGAGATTTCGGAATGCTGCAAGTCTCAGTTCAGCCCCAAGAGCCTTCAGTCCAGTTGGAAGGATGCGAATGCCAGAGCAGCTCAGCAGTTGGCTACTGTCGCGAGCCGAGTTTTCTTCCAGAGTGCGGTTTGTTGCGGAGTACAAAATCATCC